AGCCAAATGACATCTGTAAGATATCAAGATGTTAAGTGTGAAGGACTACAGAATGATGAAAGTAGTTATTAGACATTAAGATTTAGTTTTGATTTGCATTTCAGTTGAATTAGAAGGTTTCTGTGGGTAACGTAAACATGGGGAGGCTCCTCTGCAAAAACCATTCAGTGTTGAATTCATTTGCATTGGGAGAATTTCATAGTTTAAAACTTCTCTGTCTTTACCTATCCCTATTGTATTATCTTTTCTTCTTAAGCCCATAATGATGTTCCAGTCTGGAATGGACTACGCTTATGCCAGTGAGCCCATAAGATTATAATAGAGCTAAAAAGTTCCTACTGCTGCTGCTATAGGTGTTGAAACCTCATAGCAGAGCTTATGACTCACATGGTTGCGGTGATGCTGTTATTTGCTAGTCTTAAAATGTAAAGCACATACAACTCCATGTTAATTCAACTGGCTCACTGCATGTTACTTGGTAATGATGAATACAGATAATAAATGTTTATGAATTTATTATTATTGCCATTTTAGAATATACCCCCATGATTTAAAAAAAAAAATTACCAGCTAGGTGCTGGTGGCTCATGCCTGTAATCCTAGCTACTCAGGTGGCTGAGATTTGAGAATTGAAGTTTGGGACCAGTCTAGGCAGGAAAGTGCATGAGACTCTTATCTGCAATTGACCACCAAAAAGGTAGAAGTAGCGTTGTGGCTCAAGTGTTAAAAGTGCCAACACTGAGTAAATAAAGGACAGCATCTAGCCCCTGAGTTCAAGCCCAAGTTACCAGCACTAAAACAGGTGTCAACAATGTCAGGATATTCCAGCAGCATTACCATGTTGCACCAAGAACCCTCCTGAATTTGTATAAGTAAATTTTTGTGTTTACTGAAGTACAAATTCCTCAGAAGTGCCTCTCTGTCATTGAATGGTAACTGCATTTGACGTTTCCTACCTGGGTATTTATTTAAAAGTGTATTATTTGTAAGGGTCAAGCTCGGTGGATTTTTATTACCCTTATCTTCCATTCTTTCTCACAACTTTGGGAATTTTTGTTGTTTGGTTTGGTTTGGTTTGTATCTTGAGACCTAATCCTGCTCTAAGGCTCGGGTGTCTTCCTGCCTCAGCCTAAGTGTTGGGGTACAAACATGCTCCACTACACCTGGCTTTGCAAGTTTGTAAAAGCTACTTTATTCTTTAGAAATTACATGGGGGCTATTCCCATGTGCACAAATAGGCTTTTTGTGTCTTTTGGCTTTTCTTTTCTTTCTTTCTTTCTTTCTTTCTTTCTTTCTTTCTTTCTTTTTTTCTTTCTTTCTTTCTTTCTTTCTTTCTTTCTTTCTTTCTTCTTTCTTTCTTCTTTCTTTCTTTCTTTCTTTTTCTTTCTTTCTTTCTTTCTTTCTTTGTTCTTTCTTTCTTCTTTTTTTCTTTTATTAAGCTAGGACCATGTTATGTAGTCCAGGCTAGCCTTGCATTGAGTGTGCTGTCCATCTGCTTCAGCCCAGTGCTGAAATGATGGGCACATTCCACTCTGCCACCTGTCACTGGATTTTTTATGTTTATTACTATGTATTGTATGGAAATTTGACAAGCTTCCTAAATCCTGTTATCAATAGCACTCTCCTCTTGCCTCCACTTCTTAGAGTTGAAAATACTTCCTTGTCAAGCAACAGTATCATATGCCCGTATAAGTAGCATGCTTTGGAGAAAATATAGTCTGAGGTTTGATTTTGAGCTTGTTAGGCCGATATTGTACTTCTTCAGCCTTGCTCCCAACACATTACGCTTTTGTTATACATCTCATAACTGGGATTAAAGATATGAACCACCATACCCAGCTTGTACTTTGATATAAGGGCTCAGATAACTCTTGACTTGTTTGACTTCAGACCATGATTTTCTGATCTTCTCCCATATAGATAGGATTATAAGCCTGAGTCACTCATATGACTTACTTTTTGTTAAAACAATTGGTCCAGGAAGCTAGCAAAGTAAAGTATTCTTTCCCATGTTTAATTAGATATAAGACTTGCAATTTCAGTTTGATAACATGTATAATTAGATAACCAAATCCTGTACTAAGTGATTGTGATTATTTCCTACTTCCTAGAATCTTTATTGTGATGATTGCCAATTTATTGCATGTTCTGAACATTGCTATTTTATGCTGTTTATAAGTTATTTGTGCATATGATAAAGATTAAAGATATATATATAGAAAATTTTAGATATATATTTTAATTATATTGTATCCATGATTATGCAGTTTTCTTTTTATAATAAGTCCACTATTTGAAAACTAAAATAAAAATGAGTTATGTCACATGGAGCAATAATCGTCAGACTTATTCCTATTGATTATATGCTTTGTGATCAAACAAGAATGTTTCAGGGAAGGATATGACATAAGGAAAACACAATGAGAAAAGTACCATCGATGCTGTAATTGTAACCTAATGTCGAGTCATCTTTAAAGATTTAAGGGATTTTAGTGTATATTACATTTGTATTAGTTTACATAGTTTTGTCGCCTCGATTTTGCCCTCTATAGCAAGAATACTCTGCTGCCAGGTGCCGGTGGCTCACACCTGTAATCCTAGCTACTCAGGAGTCTGAGATCTGAGGATTTGGGTTTGAAGCCAGTGCGGGCAGGAAAGGCTGTGAGACTCTTACCTCCAATCAACCAGCAAAAGTTAAAAAGAAAAAATTATAAAGAAGCCAGACGTGGAGCTGTGGTTCAAGTAGTAGAGTGCTAGTGTTGATGTCCAGGCCCTGAGTTCAAGCCCCAGGAATAGCACCACACACACACACAAAAGTAATACTCTGCTAAGATATATGTGATATGTGACCCCTCACCTGTTGTGGGAATTATGTTCCAGAGACCCTAGAATAGGTGAGAACCTGCAAAGTAGTAGTAGTAGACAGTTGTTCCTCGCTATATTGCGGTTCACTTACTGCTACTTCATGGATTTTCACCTGTCAGGGCCTCTGGAACATAAGTGAGGGATCACTGTTTGCAGGGGGTTTTTTTGTTTGTTTGTAGGTCATGGGGCCTAAACTCTGGGCTCAAGGCTAGCACTCTTATCATTGATCCACAGCACCACTTCTGGCTTTTTCTGCGTATATAGTGCTGAGAAATCGAACCCAGGGCCTCATGCATGCAAGGCAAGCACTCTACCACTAAACTACCTTCCCAGCTCCACTATTTATAGTTTTTTAAAAAACTGAAAAAAACCCTGCAGTATGGGGCTGGGAAGGTAGCTCAGTGGTAGAGTGCTTGCCTTGCATGCATGAGGGGCTGGGCTCGATTTCTCAGTACCACATAAGCAGAAAAGGCCGGAAGTAGCACTGTGGCTAAAGTGGTAGTGCTACCTTTGAGCTAAAGAGCTGAGGGACAGCACCCAGGCATTAGTATATGTCTTTATGTCCCAATACATGATTTAATCGATTATTTTTCTCTTATTATTGATAATTTTGAGAAAAGGGATCTAATTGTAAGTGACCTTTGTTTCCTTTTCTTTTTAAGGAAGAAATGTTATACTTGAACCCAGGCATGCTTGGCATATAAGTGCTCTACCACTGGAGCCACACACCCTTGGCCCTTTTGCTTTTTGAGATAGAGCTTCCTAACTGTCTAGATAGGCCTCTAATTTTCAGTCCTCCTATCTCTATCTCCTGATGCCACTAGGTCAGAATATTGTCTTTCTGAGGCTATTCTGGCTGTAGCTATACAGGATGTGTTTGAACTCCATGCAAAAGTTCTTAAATCCCGAGTTCTGTTCTTTAATACCAGTGAATAATACCTTATAAAACTCACCAAGGTGGGACTTTATAATATATACTAATTTAAATGAATACTTTAAAAAATTGTACAGAAATAAGGTAATCTTAGGCATACTCTAATCAGGCAAGCTTATTTTTAGGACATTTCCTTTTCATTGTGTGTGTGAGAGTTTTGGGGAGAAAAATGGACTTTAATGGTTTAACAAGGAAAAACTGCTGGAGGGAAAACTCATGTGCCAAATGGGAAATTTAGAAAAATTGAAATATTGTTCAGATCTTCCTTAGGATTTCTGAAATGGGGCTGGGAAGGTAGAGCGCTTGCCTTGCATGCATGAGGCCCTGGGTTCGATTCCTCAGCACCACATAAGCAAAAAGAAAAAAGCCGGAAGTGGCACTGTGGCTCAAGTGGTAGAGTGCTAGCCTTGAGCTGAAGAGCTGAGGGACAGCGCCCAGGCCCAGAGTTCAAGCCCCACAACCGGACTAAAAAAAAAAAAAAGATTTCTGAAATGCAATGTCTGTTTTCTGACACAAGTCACTTAAATTGCAATTCAGATAGCTTATATAAACAAAGTAGCTATTAACAGCTTCAAAGTAGCTATTAACAGCTTAAGTATCAGTTACCAATATCTGTTCTGAACTATCCAAATACTGTCATGCTTTTTATCTAAATTCTTGCTCTTTTTAAAATTTGCTTTTTTTCTCCCTATGCTTTAAGTATTGTAAAACAGTATACAAAACTAGGAATTCTGTGTTTAAGATAATAAGATTTAGCCGGGTGCTGGTGGCTCACGCCTGTAATCCTAGCTACTCAGGAGGTTGAGATCTGAGGATCGCTGTTCAAAGCCAGCCCAGGCAGGAGAGACAGTGAGACTCCTATCTCCAATAAAACCACCAGAAAACCGGAAGTGGCGCTGTAGCTCAAGTGGTACAGCGCTCCCCTTGAGCTGAAGAGCTGAGGGACAGCGCCCAGGCCCAGAGTTCAAACCCCACGACCGACCAAAAAAAAAAAAAAAAAAGATAATAAGATTTTCTTGAAGGCAGAGACTGGAGGATTATGAGTTTGAGACTAGCCTGGGCTACATAGCAAAGCTCTGTCTCAAAACAATGCATTTTTCATTCATATTTAACAACTGAGAACAGTTACGTGGCTAAAAATGACAGTTTCCTAGAAAAAAAAATGTATTGATCAATGATTAAGATTATAAGAGTCAAGTCAGAATAAAGTCTTCCTTTTAATAAAGATGACCTCAAATCCTGGTGAGAAGAAACTCAGGTCACATAGAATTTATGTTCAAATGTGATTATTACATTGTTTTATTTATTTTTGTTATACACAAAACAGACCCAAAAACTTAGCCCATAAAGGAATTGGTATGCATTATTGAAGGTGGTAGTAATAAAATGTGTTGCTACAAGTGAACCATCCCACAAGTCCTCCTGATTGACATCTCCTTAAAACAAGTGGAAACTTCATTAGAATGCCAATTCTAGGTTCAAATTTATGTCAAAGCACTTGATGGTATCATATTTAGTACAACTAGTCTTTTTTAGCTTTAAAATGTTGTACTTAACTACACGACTTGTAAAATGTAAAGGAGTTCCTGTTTGAGGCATGGATTGTATGGGTGGGGATATCTTTGGTGTTGGTAAATACCCTTCTTCCTAGTGAATAAAAACAGGTCTCATGTGATTTTAAAAGTCATTATCCCATACTACACTATTCTAGGATCTATGTAGTCATTTTTAAACTTAAAAATCATGTCCTGATTAAGTTACATGGCTCCCAGCACAGCAAAACACCTTAAATTTGCATAACTTTTTCCCCCTTAGCCATAGCTTCAGAGCTTGCCTGATCTTCTAAACATTCTTTTGAATTAATAGGGAAATCAGTTATTACCATCTCTAACAGGTGGGAGAAATGGAACACTATATAAAGTTCTTACCTAAGGTCAAAATAACCAAGGTGGAAAGATCTAGATATTTCAATTTCTAGTATACATATCATCTTGAATAAAAGTACCTAAAAATTTGTAACATCATAATGTTGAATATCTACTGAGCTGGACTTCATGTTAAGTTTTGAAAAGAAAATTTACAAGCCAATGTTTAACCTAGTAAAGGGAGCAAGTACAAAAGATTTTAAGGTAACTAATGCATGAAAAAAAATGCCTTAGCTGTGTCATGTCCTAGACAGTGCTGATTGGGAACATGTACAAAGAATATTGAAAGACCCATGAAAAAACAATGTACTATTCAGTTGGCACTAAGCTACACCACAATAAAAGTCAAACATATTTTTACTTTATGTTGACATACACAGAGAAAAGTTCCCAATAATGTACTTTAGAAAATTGTTTTGCTACTTTTTATCTGAAATTGAAGACCCATGAAAGAAGACAAGGAAGCATTGAGCACTGAGGAGTTTCAAGTCCACTATCTGGAAGTCAAACTTGATTTTTCCTCCATCGGTGATGGTTACTAACAGAGCACTGGCTTTTCAGATGGTACCAATTCTGTGATGAGGCACTTGAAGAGTTTGAAGGTTGGGGCATGTGAAATATGGGGCTGGAAGGAAGCATGCTGCTATTCCATTGGAAGCAAAAGGTAGTGTAGGCCCATAGAATACTTCTTCCTTGCCTTCTCTGCTTACATCTAGAACCTACAAAGCAAGAACAACAGGTGGCTACTTACAACAATGCTGTATGTATCTGTCAGGACATCTGGACTTAAACTCCGTGTGCCATCATCCCCAACCCTTTTGGGGAATTGTTTTTCTTGCTAAAATAATCCCAGAAATGTTTACTCACAATCAAGCTTAAGAACAGTGGTGAAAACGATAGCATTATCCTTAGTCAAATTTCCTTAGACTGGCTAAGTAACACTCAAACTAGTTTATAGGTAGCATCTTTACACTTGTTTTCAAGTCCTTGCCCTTAAGATAAAGAAAACAAAACCTTGTAAGTTTGTTGTGAAAACTGGTGAACTGTAGCTGAGCACCTGTTTCATACATAGAATAACAAAGTAGCTTCAATATTTGTTCATTTTATTCTGGAAACTTATACCCCCTCCCTTTCCAATTAAATCTAGAGTTACAACTTTTCTTGTATGTGTCTCTTGTTAATCTGTGCCCACTATCACCCGATTTAATCTAGCTTAGTGTTTCTGCAGATACGATGCTCTCATCCCTTGCATCAAATCCATCAGGTTTTTAAAGTCCTCAGTTGTTTCAGTATCATGACTTTACTTCATTTAAAACCTTTCCTCCCTTGGACTGATGATTTAAAAAATAAATACAAGGTATCTTTGACATCCTGTTGATAGTGGGCATTGGTTGCTTTTCTCCACTTGCGTCCTGATAATAGGTGTTCTCCAGCCATGGATCTTCAATGTTTTCGTCCATTCACATCTTCATCTGTTCCTGGTATGATAACCCCTTAATAACACTTTAGCTATGGTTAATACATTGTTTGAGATGAAAGGAGCCTTGGAAAATTGGAAGTCCAACCTAATGGGGAAGGGGTGTGTGTGACTAAATCCTAGAACAAAAGATCATCAATCTTTTAGCTGTTTTTCTCCCCCAAATGAATTTTACTTCTCCCAATCCATTTACAAATCTGCCCTATCACTACTAATTTAGAATATCTCTTTCACACTAAGTATAAACTGTTCCATTCAGTAATTTGTGCATCTTTTTGCAGTATCACATCTACAGTTGTTTTGAATACCTCCCCATTTTCTTGATTATTATACATTTGTTCTTGAGAAACTCAAGATAAGTATGACAAGTATCACTTGCCTTCTCGATAAGATAAAGGGAAGTTTCAGTGGGATTTTGATTAGTATTTCAACAAATTTCAAAAGTAGAGAACATGTAGTATTTATCATATTATCTTCTATTTACAAGGAAGAAAGCCAGTAGATACACAGATTAAAAAATAAGTAACTTACAGTAACTTGACTGGTAAAGTTTCCCAATATTTGAGGCTCAAGGAGGCAACCCCAAAAAAGCAAGATTATAAAATCCCTCAACAATATCCCTTCCCCTAAAATGGTCCATTCTTAAAAGGTAAAATGACAGTGAGGTAATCATCCAGAGAGCTTTTGTCTGGGTTCATGGGCCAACTGAGACTGCAAATGTTAAGCAGATGTAATGTATTTAATCTGCAAGGGGAAAATGAGGCTTTGGCAGTTTTTCTCCAAAATACTCCCCTGTAAACTGGCAGAAAGAAGGCGTCTGGGAGAAGGCGATGCCAGACTGGCAGCATATCCTCCAGCCACAAGGAACACATAGTAAGTGAAGAGAATAGTCGAAGTGATCTGGAAACAGACTTATCACTTGCACACTAAGACAGCTGCTCCCTTGTATTGTACTTGTCATCCATGGCACACCAAGATTTATTTCCTGTGCCAGGCATTTGCTTACGTACTCACAAATAAGAAACGAGCACCTTCACTTTGTAGAAATCTGTTTCTAGTATATCTATCCATAAGTCTCTGTCTAACAAGTCCAGAGCTCAATCTGCAAACAAGTACTAACAAGAACATCTAGCTTTCTCTCTTGTTGGATCTCCTTGTGGTGAATCAGGGAATCAAAGTAGTAGCCAGAAATGAAATGAATATCTTCTCTGCATCCTACATGCTTCTTCCCCAGGGGCCAAAAATCTCACAAGTGACGACTAAATGAACTTGAACTAGGGTCCTGAACATCCATCTAATGAGACAGGCTATTGGCTGGTATTTTCACGGGGGGAATAAAAGAATTTTAGTCCTTCTGGATATTAACAGAACGATCTCTGAGCTATTTGAGAGTAACCTCCATTAATCAGCCTGAGATGAATAGTTTATAGGTTAACCTTGGGTTGAAGATTATATGGATTAGTAATTTATGACACAAAAATTTAAACTTTGATCATTTGAGTGTGCCTGTGGTTTTTGCCATTGTGCTATACTTTTCAGTGTGCACTCTCTCTCTCTCATGAGCCTTTTCTCCAGATCACTATTCCAGTCTTCCACTAGCTTACCTCCCTATTGGATATTCTTCCAGCAATAGCAAAGAAGTGTCTTGCTTTTGAACATGGAACTAATCTCTCCAACCATCAATATATTATGCTGAATGCCCCAAAAGAATTGATCTGTAGCCAACCATAAAACAAATTTCAGCTTTAGTACAGAAAGAATCCTATCATCAGCAACCAGTTGTCAATAACTAAAAATTCAAAAACATGATATATGGAAGGTCTGTTAATTGTGACAATTTTTATTCCAAATATCTCTTAAGTGACAACCATATGGTAATATGGGCACATTTTCTGTTAATAATAAAGGCTAAATTTTTTTTATCAAATTTATCTGTGCTTTATAGAACCATATGCTAGCCTCTAGGGAATAAACAGGATTTGCTTGATTTTGTTTAGCAAAAAGCAACAGAATTACCCATAATGATGAGTTTTTAAGCACACACACACACACACACACATATATATATATACATATACATATGTATGAATATTTTATTGCAAGTCTCAGGAGAAATTTATGCCACTAATAACAGGAATTAACTTTTTTTTTTTCCAGTTGTGGTGCTTGAACTCAGGGCCTGGGCACTATCCCTGAGCTGCTTTTGCCCAAGGCTAGCACTCTACCACTTGAACCACAGTGCCACTTCCAGCCTTTTCTATTTATGTGGTACTGAGGAATGAAACCCAGGGCTTCATGCATGCTAGGCAAGCACTCTACCACCAAGCCATATTCCCAGCCCCTAGCTTTAAAATGAAAATTAAAAAAAAAAATACTCTTTCGAATACCAAATTTGGAAGAAGCGTTTAAATATTTCAGTGGCCTCGGGTACCATTCTAGGCCACTTCATCTCTTGAAGGTAACCTATTTTGCTTGAGAACAGACATTAACAACATAGTGTATTTAGTTATTGATCCATCATGGGAAAAGTTTTCTTGGGGGGAGGGGAAGGCAAATTATGAGATTCTGATGTTTTGTTGTTAATTTTCTTGTGTCTTACATGCATACTTTCAAGACTATTCCAAAACAGGAGATGTGGAAAAAGCTTTAAATTATGGCAGCCTGTGGTCTCCTAAATCTGCTATGTATGCCAAGATCATTATAAAATTAAGTTATAACTAACTTTTGTTCTGTTCCTTAAACTAATCCAATAAGAAAATGAATGGAAATGCACCATAAATACTTAAAATTTGCAAGGTAATGATAAGTAAGTTCCAACTTACTTCCATTGGCAAGCAGTCAAATGAGGTTTCCAAAGGCACTTAGGAAATGGGGTTCCACCACTACAGAGCAGAGCTATCTGTTGACCAGTTCAATGTTTTAGCAATTCTGAAAAGTGAAAATTAGAAGAAACCTAAAAGACTGAAAACTGCCACATGGATGCTTGGATGAAGACAGACGCCATTCTTGAGGTGAAAACAGCAGGCACATTTGTTGAGATCCAAAAGATATGGATAAGCTGTTCTGCGAAATATGCCTTAAGTAACTCCTTTAAAATTATGATGCTTTGTATGTGTGTCTGATAATTTTTTTGTTATCACTTCCTCATTCGTTCACATCGTTTGTTTTTTCTACTTTGAGTTTATTTTTAAATCATTTTGTAAATTTGTTACGCTGCATTTATCTTGTAATCGTTGCTAGTTATTGATTTATTGCTTTCATTGTCACACAATTCTGGGACTTTTTTTAACACTCCATCATGACTTCTTTAATCCTTAGCTTATATGGTGTTTTATTATCTCAAGATTACAGGGGTACATTTTGGTGAGGTCAGATTAATGGCATTGTATTAGAGGTGCATAATACTAATTTTTGAAATTTATTAAAGTTTCCTTAGTGATTGTTTATTATCAAAGTGTTCCAGGTATGCTATGAAAATATATTCTAATTATTAAATCTGGGAATCTCATCCATGTGGCTGCCTTTTAATTATGTTTTTTATGTCTTTCCTGTGCTGCTGACTTTTTTTTCTATTGGATGTGTATTAGATAGATATTTAAATCCTTAAAATTGGCAAACAGCTCAAGAAGAAAAAAAGATAACATTATGAATACAGGGAAATATAAGCCATATGGGTACAGGGAAATACAACTAAACACAACAATTAAGTACTGGCAATAAAGAAAACTAAAGGACTTTAACAAATAAGTACCTTTGGTGTATATCATATATACGATATGCATATCATATATAGGCTATGTATATGCTACATGTTATATATCATATACATGGTGTGAATATCATAGATATGCCATGAAATTATACATCTTTCTCTCTCTCTATATATATATATCTTATGAAATGTTACTGAAGAATCAAACTCCTGAAAAATATTGAAGTTGTTGAAACTTCCTGTAGGCTGACGGTATGTCCAAGGAGTAACAGAAGCTACCTAGCCAACATGGGGCTCTAAATTCCAACATCAATATCATCCTTCACCCCTTTTCTCCTCTGTCTCCCCCAAAAAAGAAGAAAGGAGAATCAGCTAGCGTGATAATATGTGCCTATAATCCCAGCACTTTGGGGATTAAGGCAGGAGTACTGCAAGTTGAGGCCAACCTGAGCTACTAGAGAGACTATCTCATTCCCCCCAACCCCCACTCCCAAATACCTCTCATATAATAAGAGTTGTTAAAAGAGCACACTTTTCTTGATAGCAGAAGAAAGGTCATAGCTAAAAATCAATTTTTTATCAGAGATTATGTAACTGAAAAACTTAAAGAATTATAAAACAGTAATACACAAAGATGCATGAAGTATTAATCAGTGAAGTCTGCTGCATCTGTGAACAGCCCAGCTGACACCTGCTGCCCTGGGCTTCTCCCACACTCATATACAGATGTGCCAGGGCTACTGTCTGAGACAGACTGTCCCTTCCACACCAGCCATGACCGCCCCTGCTCATAGACTGCCCAAGACAAGAACACCATTGTAGGTGGCATTTATGGAAATGAACACGTTGCAATGAAGAGGAGACAATTGTAGTTTTCAGAGTTTGAATGGCTATTACCAAAACTTTCTGGATTTTTTTTTGATCTGTCACAAAAGGTAAGTCATCCCACTTTCCCTGTTTCCAGTATATGATTCACATTTTTTTTAATCTTTAAAAAAAATTGTTATTGTAGAGGTGATAGACGGAGGGGCTACAGTTGGGTAAGTCAGGTAATGAGTACATTTCTTTTTGAGCAGTGTCAGCTCTTGCTTTCTCCCAGCCTTTCCCTCCCAACCCCACTTCCACACAGTGGTGTAGTTCATTTTCAACATAGTGTCTAATGAGTATCACTGCTGCATTTGTTCATCCTTTGTCCCACCATGTCTTCTCCCCTTTACCTGCCCCAAACATAAACTTACATACAAAGAAAGAGGTACAGAAATTGAAAACAGTGACGAGTAAGGAAAAAAAAATCAAGAAGCAACAAAATAACATAAAACCTCTTGTTTCCATTCCTTGGAGTTCATTTTTCTAAGTATCATTTTATATGATCATATGCTCATAGCTATTGAACCTAAGAATATTCTCCTTTGGTGTCATTGTATAAATGTCTAAAGTCCTGTCCTAGCCGTATCTCAGTGTATTTTTTTTGTCATTTACCATGACAAGTGTGTTTACTTGTAGACTTAAACCTTTTTCCCACTTTCATTTTCAACATGTCTTATTTTTGTGAGATAGGGCAGAGTTTAGTGGTTGAACTGGTTACAACTCCCACTCATCCCCAAAATAGGCCTTGAACTCTATCTGTAAACATGTCCTCCATCATGGGTGCACTGCAAACCAATGAAAGTACATGGGTCAACTTCAAAAGGAACTCCAACCACTTACCTGGATACAAGCCAGAGGCTCATTTGTCCAAATTGAATATCCACCAACTAAATATATTCTCCCATTGTGGACAGCAACTCCAGATTCATTCTGGCCTAAAGTAAAAAGAATTGGATGTGAAGAAAAAAAAGAAGTCATTTCTTACATGTTTTAATTAACCCTTTTGCCCCTGAGGAAGACAGTTCCCCCTTTGGCATATTTCATATACTCCATGGGATTTTTGTAGAAACTAATCACTGCCTCCAGAATGCAAAAGAATTAACTGTGTCAGGTCTGAACCAGACCAATACACTTGCTAACAGCCAAGTTAGTCAAATGTAGAGTTAAACAAAGCAATAAAGGTATATAGAGCTAAGCTCCATACTCTTGTAAATATGCCATTAATTTATAGCAATGAAAATCAGGTATATTTTAGATAAACAAAAATCCTCATGTGCCCACAAATGCCTTTAAGGCAAATGCTTACATTCTTTTAAGTAACAACTGCATTCCCAAGAAGACAATAAAACAGAACCATGCCCCAAGCACACCTCAAATGAAGACAAATAGCAGAAACAATAGATAAAATTGCTAGCCTTCCTTTTTTTACATATACAACAGTTTTAAGATTATATTAAAGTGCCTGAGCTGGGACCAGCCTGGATAATCTCTTGATACTAACACGCCAAAATGATGAAAGGTTTCCCCTCCCACTTGAAAAAAGAAGAGAGAATAACTCACTACCACATATTCTTCCCTGGAGGCCATTGAAGCGAAAGAGTCTTTTTTATTGATGAGCTGACACAGGATTGACTGGAGTAATAAATAAGCTGGGTTCTGTAACAGGCAGAATAACAGATCCAAGGATCCAGGGTCTAAGGTACCACTACAACTGAGAGTTCAGTTCTTGCTAGGGGGCCTCAAAAATCATTTTGCAAAAAACGGTCTCAATGCAAAGCACTGAAGTCTCTGGGTTTGCTCCCAATGGTACCTCTCCAACAACAGCTGGGAGTGACTGATGCCCATTCAAAATATTAAAATGTCTTCTGGAATTTTGAGTTTGTGATTTTCCTTGCTCCTTTGTAGATATTAATAATACTGACAAGGGAGACAATGTTTTCCAGTCTGGAAGAAGCTTTTCGTTCATTCTTTTTTTGAGGCGGGGAGGGACCACACCTACGCCTGGCTGAGGATGTGTGGCCAGAAACCCCTTTGTACAGAACTACTAAGGTTTCATTTCCAGAACACTACACCCAGAAAACAGTATTCGACAGTGACAAATAATGAAGAGCACCATATCACTGAACTCCTGAACTCAAAAGAAATAAAAAGAGGATGGAACAGTGAGAAGTCAAATATGTATTGCTTCTGCAAAGAATTATTAACTCAGAACCTTGTCCCTCCTACCTGTATCAATATGTGCATATGATTCGTGATAAGAGCCCTGGCATGACTCTTTTGGTTCTATGAGAATGTGTACAAAGGTAATACAGGAACTTAGAAAGTAGGTGTCCACTGACCTGAATGAGTCCATAATGCTGTATGAGAAAAAGTGAGTGCACAGCTTTCTGATTAATAAAGCAAGTTGCTTTACCAACTCTGCACTTAAAATTTGGAGATGTACCAAAAAAAAGTCTAAAACTCTAAGCAAACAAATTTTAACTTAACAAGTGTGAAAACTTAAAATCTCTGAATATTATATATATATATATATATATATATATATGAGTTTTTTTCACTCAAGGCTAGAGTTCTGCCACTTGAGCCACATTGGCATTTTGCTGGTTATTTTAAAATAAGAGCCTCACAAGACTTTCCAGCCCAGGCTAGCTTTGAACTGCAAGCATCAGATTCCTGCCTCCTGATAGGATTACACCAGTGAGCCACCAGTACCTGGCCCTGATTTTGTTTACTTATTTTTTAAATTTTTAAATCAGATACTTGCCAGTCAGTAGGTTAAAATTGCAACGGGTCCACTGATCAGTGTCCATGTTGTAAGAATCTATGTGGCGCACAAGAATCCGGTCGTTGTTGTAATCCAGATCATTGCCTCCAAGAACATAAAGCTTCCTCTGGATGGCTGCCATGGAATGATAGACTCTTCTCTGTAGCATGGGGCTGCGGCTTATCCACTTATTCTAAAGAGAGGGAGAGGAACAGAGAGGGAGAGGGAGAGGGAAAGAGAGAAGGAGAGGGAAAGAGAGAAGGAGGGGGAGGGGGAGGAGAGGGAGAGGGAGATAACAGCACATTAGCAGTCAGGCCCCAGTGTTCATTATCCACATTTAATTTGAATAGCATTTACATTTGTGAGGAAAGCATTCTTTTCTAGCAAAGTGTTTTGCTTCTATCAAAGTGTTTGTCAGTCTTGTGTGAGTTGTTTTTTTCTGAAAAGTTCCTGGCCCAAGCCAGGAATTATGTTTTTGTTACTTCATTTTCCTTGCTACACTTAAGACATCCTGTAACAAGCTCACTGATTTTTAGTTGCATCCCATTCCTGCTAGTTAAGCCACATCCTTTCGCAGACTGTGAACCCCAGCTCAGCCAATCCAAGGAGAGGGGCAGGGCCTGCTGGGTCGGGGATAAAAAGAGAGCAGCCTGCCTGCTCTGTGTGCGTGCTTGATTGAATGACAGACTTTGGGCAGATGGAGCACCCTCTGCAGAAGAAAACTTTACCTTGCTGAATTCCTTTTGAGTTGGTGTCTTCATTTCTGCACGCCATCTGAACATCCCAAGGTATATAGTGTAATGTGTATTCACAGTCATGAGCTTCTTACAGGCAAACAAGTACAAAAGAATCAAAAAATCCAGTCCTATTTTGTGACTTAAGTGAGACATTTCTTCTGGCTTGCATTTTTTTTTTTTTTGTTGGTCGTGGGGCTTGAACTCTGGGCCTGGGCGCTGTCCCTCAGCTCTTCAGCTCAAGGCGAGCGCTCTACCACTTGAGCTACAGCGCCACTTCCGGTTTTCTGGTGGTTTATTGGAGATAAGAGTCTCACGGTCTCTCCTGCCCGGGCTGGCTTTGAACCGCAATCCTCAGATCTCAGCCTCCTGAGTAGCTAGGATTACAGGTGTGAGCCACCAGCGCCCGGCTTCTGGCTTGCATTTTAAAGGACACATTTTATTTGGGAAATATTTAAAATGTCATTCTCATCTTTTTAATTATCTTTAGTTGTTCAAAGTGTATAGATAGTAAACATCTTGATCAATGTCACCCCTCCCATCATTCGCCCCCAACTTTTCCAACACCAACCATATCCTCAAGTTGCATTCATTCCATTTTCATGTATCTTGAGGACCACGACTACATTTGCTGACCCACCTTCTCTTTCCCTCTCTCCATGTGTCTGCTCCCTCCACTTGTCATGAAGATTCTTACCCAATTCAGAGAATTTGCTCATGGAAATTACTCTCTAGGCTGGGAAGGGATGTGAAGGGTAAACAAAGGAAGAGGCTGCAATGCTTGATAAGAAATGTACGCATTATCCTGCCCATGTAATTGTAACCCCTCTGTACAGTATGTTCACAAAAAAAAATTAAATTAAATTAAAAAAAAGAAATTACTCTCTAATACATGGTTGTATATGTAGTGAATACTGGTATAATAATTAAAGAGAACAGTCTCTTGATCCCAAATGCCTGGAATATAACCCATGTGGGATCCTTTGCTGTTAATCTCTGCCTGTTTCCTCTGTAAAATGGGGATATGAATGTTTACATGGTATTGTGAAGATGAAATGAGCTAATGCAAATTAAGCATTTAAAAAAATGCTGCATGTAATATATGTCCAATACATGCTCCCATTAAAAAAAAAAAAGAAAGAAAACAATCATTGGATATCCAATGTGTCTTGACAACCTAAGTTGAAAGTACCTTTGCTTTCTTTCCCAAAAGCTAAGATTTTTAATTTAATATCCTCTCATATTTCCTTTGTATCAACTTACTTTAACATGTTTCCAGTTATACCTCTTACAAGACTGGGAAAAGTTATTTTAGGAACATGTTTGCTAATATTGGTAAAAGGTCAAGTTTTGCATAAGAACTTTAGGGAACCAGGAAATCTTCAATATCCAGTTACAGGTTACTCTTCAGAAGAAGAAAGGTATGTTCAGTCCCTCTGAAAATAAGGCTCCTAATTTAAACTGTAGCCATGTGCCAGTGACTTATGCCTGTCATTTTAGCTACTTGGGAAGCTGGAATCTGAGGATCACATTGAAGGCCACAGCCCAAGCAGGAAAGTCTAGGAGACTCTAATCTCCAGTTAACTACCAAAAAAGCTGGAAGTAGAGCTGTGGCTCAAGTGCTAGAGTGGTAGCCTTGACCTAAAAAGCTCAAAAGCTTTTTGGAACTGCAAGCAGTTCCAAATGAATTAAATAAATCATAATAAACACTATGGAGATCTTAAATAGTATATTTTTAAAGAAATACTAAATCAAAGCTCAACAAAATAAGCACCAAAAATGGGTACTTGCAATTAAGGGGAAAAGAGTAGACAATGAAGGGGGGGGGAGGGGAGGGACGAATGCAGTCCATAATTCATTACACATACCGCAGCACTGAGAACTGGAAGGGAAGGAGTGAATCAAAGGAGGCTGAGGTTGAAGGGCGTGACACAGAGCAAGATGCACTGTTTTCATGTACTGCTTTGTTAAATGGCACCTCCCCTGTATAACTACCAAAAGTTAAGAATAAAAACAATTCTCAGGGCTGGGAAGCTGGCTCCGTGGTAGAGCACTTGCCTTGCATGCATGAGGTCCTGGGTTTGATTCCTCAGCACCACATAAGCAGAAAAAAAAAGCCGAAAGTGGTGCTGTGGCTCAAGTGGTAGAGCACTAACCTTGAGCTGAAGAGCTGAGGGACAGCGCCCAGGCCCAGAGTTCAGGCCCAGGACCGGACCCCCCCCCTCCCAAAAAAAAAATTCTCAGATAGAAAAAAGAGAGAGAGAGAGACAAGCTGATGATCACCAGGCCCTGAGTTCAAGCCCCAGGATTGGCAGGTACACACACACACACACACACACACACACACACACACACACACACACACACACACGAGTAAAAATTAGTTCAAAATTTTGACTAACCATAAACTGCAAAATAAATATCAAACAAGTAAACCAAGTATTAGGCAGGTAAATAAGCTTTTTTCTTTCTTTATAAATACTAAACATACAAGAAGAACCCTTGTTTCCTTTCTGCCAAGAAAAATTTGGACTTGGACCAGAAAAATCATATGATGTTTTGAATACAACTGTGAGTTTGTACAAACATTGGCATATATATTCTAGGCATATACATTCTAGGCATATATGCAGTATAGGCACATATTCTAGCTCATTTCTATCTTCTCTTTCAAAGATCCACTCCAGAGAAAGAAGTTTGTACAGTTTGACAGGCTTGCATTATCTTCTATCTGTTTAAACATATAGTAAGAATCTCCGTTCACTCAAATATCTTCCTCAATACAACTGGCCTTTCTTTAAGATACTTTGCTAAGAAAAATCTCTAATGCATTACACTTGAGTGATTTCTTAAAACATTCTAATGATGCTTTTCTTGGGTGCTTTCTTGAGACAACCCATTATGGTATTAGGAATCCATGTTTGCATTAGCAGTCAGTCCCCTGCCACGGGACTGGAGATGCCATCTGGTTTGCAAAGCCTGCCTACATCCCCTGATTATATCTTCAGCTTCCTTCACTGCAGTGCCTGCCAGGTGAGCCGCCAACCACTGCAAAGGCAAAGAAACGAAGAGGCCTGGCGGGGTCATTCCTAATAAGCTAGCGTGTGAATACTAATCAGTGGTGGGGAGGCAGAGGTCACCCCAGCCTGCCTGTTGGCAGGTAGCGATGTGCTCTGTGGCAGATGGCAGGCATTATCGACTCTCCACAAAGGCCTAGAAGAGAAATAAGCACCAGGGCTGAATGATAGAGTTATTGAGATTCTGAGCAAGATGCAAGCAGATGTGATGTTTGCCAGTACCCACCGTAAACAATATGCCAGCAGAATTTTTAAAAAGAGCATGTGTGTACAAACATGGACCAGAACTCATTTAAACAATGTTAACACTTTCTTCCTCTTTAACCATGTGTGCACCATGCTCAAGCAACTGCAATTAGTGATCTCCCTTGAGACCACTAACCTGTCCACAGTCTACAGCCTCTCAGGACATCAGGATACAGACTTGTAAGAGAGAGGGGGGAGGGGAGACAGAGAGAGAGAGAGAGAGAGAGAGAGAGAGAGAGAGAGAGAGAGAGAGGGAGAGAGCTGCCCTCATTGAATGCAGAATCAAGTAATTGTCAAAATGGAAAGATACACAAGATTCTCTGGGTGTACCTTTGGTGGCCAATCGTGATACAGACAGAAAGTCAACCCGTTGTTTCACATTCCAAGCCATAGTTGTGCTATACCACTCACACCACTGAAATGTGCTACTAGCTGTGGCTTGTTAGTTGAAATAGGTCTTCCTAACTTTTTGCCTGGGGCTTATTACTGCTGTCCACCCAGTCTTTGCCTCTTGAGAAACTAGGGTAACAAGCCTGGGCCACCACATCCAGCTTCTTATCAAGACCTTTAAAATTTCATCTTAAGTCGGATATCATGCCTATAATCCTAGCTTCTCAGTAGGCTGAGATCTGAGGATATTGATTCAAAGCCAACCAGGACAGGAAAAGTCCATGAGGCTCTTATCTCCAATTAACTACCCCCCCCCCCCAAACAAACAAAACCCAAATGGAGCTGTGGTTCAAGTAGTACTAGCCTTGAGCAAAAAAGCTAAAGGACAGTATCGAAGCCCCAGTATCAAGCCCCAGAACTAGCACACGTGTGCACACACACACACATTCATTTTAATTACGGCAATGAGCTTTTTACATATGATTCTTACCTGGTTAGGTTCATATACCATCAGTCTGTTCTGGTATTGCGCTGTGTTAGTTACTCCACCTGTAATGGAGGAACATGTGTTAGAATTTTTTATGAATAAGAAAACAGGATATTTCAAAATAAGAATGGAATACAATTAAAAGGAGATTAGCTACTGCTAAGAATCTGTTTATAGACTCTCATGATGAGCCCATGACATAATTAAGAAGCTTTTAAGACACATTTCAGAAGCAATCCAGTTGCGATCAAGCAACAACATGCCGATGGTAGTAAGTATTGCCTGCAATTCTAGCAAGCTGTTCTGCAGGGCTTGAGTGGGGGCAAATATAGAGGTGAATGTAGCACACATAGATCTAAGCACGATGTAATTTATGATGGGAACAGAGTTAGACGGAAAATTCTTGTCCTTAGCTAAATTGGCAATCTTAAAGCTCTAACCTCTGTACAGTAGCACAATGGTATCTTGCTATTTCTCTGGAAGAAATACCGAGCAACAGGCATTACTTATCAAGAAGGTTGTAGGCCAGCAATGGCTCATGTGGAATGTAACCAGAATCACATATGCAACTACAAATTTTCCAGTAGCCACATAAAAAAGTTGAAAAGAAATACCAAAATGAAAATTAATACTAAATCTGACTTACCTTAATATAGTAAAACATTTTAATCATTTGAAATTAATAATATAATAAATCAAATAATATGTTCCAATTAAATACTATATTAACTGAAATATTTTCAATATAAAATTAATACAAAAAAAATCTTAAGCTAGTACCGGTGGCTCATGCCTGCAATCCTAGCTACTCAGGAGGCCGAGATGTGAGGATCAGAATTTGAAGCCAGCCCAGTCAGAAAGTCCTGGTGAGAGAGATTCTTGTCTCCAATTAACCATTCAAACACTGGAAGTGGTGCCGTGGATCAAGTGGTAGAGTGAGCACTGGGAGGCTCAGGGACAGTGCCCAGGCCCTGAGTTCAAGCCCCACAACTGACAAGAAAAAAATCTTGAGATTTTTTTTTAAGTTGTGGTTATTTTTTTCATTCGGAATCTTCAAAATCCAGGGTATATTTGAAGCAGCACCGATTAGCCACATTTCAAGTATTCTATCAGACTAAGACTAGTTAATGGCTAGCAAACTGGATAGCACAAATCTAGAATCCTCGAACACAATGGTTATAATCAACTTAAACAAACAACAACCTGGAAAAATAATTCGATTCAAGAAATTTGAGACTGCCTGCGTACTTAAAAGCCACAGAAGTCAGCACACTTTCAACTCTGGTTTTGTTCCCCTCATATGCTATGGCTGAATATCCTGAATCTAGAATCTAAAACCCAAAGAGCTGCAAATTTTGAAGCTTTCTGAGCTCTGGCATGATGCCACACTGGAAAATGTCACACATGACCAGGAGTGATGGATGGCAGTCAAAGCACAGGCACATTAAAAACAAACCTGCATAAAATTGCCTTCAGGCCATATGCAAAGAGTATATACAAAACACAAATTAATTTTGTGTTTACACATGGTTCGCATCTCCAGGAGGTCTCATGATATAGATGCAAATATTTCAAATTCCAGATAAACTCCACCTCCAAACCCTATGGTCCCAAGAAATTTTGGATGGATAGAGCCAATCATTCTTTTTCATGCTTGTGGACAGTGAGCCCTGTAAAATCCAGACATGTTATTCTACTATCATATGGGAAAACTCTATAAAGTATAAGTCATAAAACAACACAGTGGGGAAAAAATCAGGCCAGTCTTGGGGCTTGATCTCAGGGGGACTGGGTGCTGTCCCTGAGCATTTTGCTCAAGGCTAGCATTCTACCACCTGAGCTACAGCTCCACTCCTAGCTTTTGTGGTGGTTAATTGGAGATAAGAGTCTCAATAGACTTTCCTACTCTAGCTGGCTTTAAACAATGACCTTCAGATCTCAAACTCCTGAATAGCTAGGATTATAGTGAGACACTGACATTGGTGCAGTGAGATTTTTTTTGGTAATGAGATGACAGTAATATGGAGATTAAAAAAACTTTACAAATACTGCCTCAGGTATAGTTCCAGACACTCGTGTAAAACGAACATCATTTTAAATAATTATCCCAAAGAACTAATGTTGCAGTAAATATCTAAAATTGACTAAAACCTGTTCATATTAGAATTTTTCTTTTTTCTGCCAGTCCTAGAGTTTGAACTCAGGGCCTGAGCTTGCTTTCTCAAGGTTAGTGCTTTACCACTTGAGCCACAGCTCTACTGAACAAGATCTTAACTTCCACTTAATCCTCCCTTAGCTTTAAGCTGCTTCCTCCCTCTGGATCCTGGGCCTCCCCACATGATTTCATTTCTCTTCTTGTGGGTCCTGGGGCTTCAGGCTTGTCAGCTTTGCTTGCATTCTACCACTAAAGCCATATCTCAAGCCTGGCATTTTTGTTTTTCCTAAACAGAATACGTTTATTTGAAAATGAAAGGAAAGCAGAGAAAGGGAAAGTAGCAACTTTCCATTCAGAAAGAGCCCCCAAAGGGGCTGGGAAGGTGGCTCAGTGGTAGAGCGCTTGCCTTGCAAGCCTGAGGCCCTGGGTTCGATTCCTCAGCACCACAGAAGCAAAAAGAAAAAAGCCGGAAGTGGCGCTGTGGCTCAAGTGGTAGAGTGCTAGCCTTGAGCTAAAGAGCTGAGGGACAGCGCCCAGGCCCAGAGTTCAGGCCCCACAACCGGACCCAAAAAAAAAAAAAAAAAGAAAGAAAGAGCCCCCAAAGAGGAGTCCCTTTTCATGTTATTTTGGAGATCGGATCTTCTGGATTTTCCTGCCTGCACTAGCAGCAAACCACGACCATTCAGATTTCAATCTCCAGGATAGCTAGGATTACAGGTATGAACTTTGCCAGGCCTCTCTTTTCTCTGAGAAATTTGCTGTATTTCCGTTTTTCTTTTCTTTTCTTTTTTTTTTTTGTCGGTTGGTTGTGGGGCTTGAACTCTGGGCTTGGACGCTGTCTCTGAGCTCTTCAGCTCAAGGCAAGAGCTCTACCACTTGAGCCACACTGAAATTTACTATAGTAAGTTATAACTTTGTGTTCTCTTCCCTCTTTGAGTTGTAAATAATTTAAAAAAAATATACTTTCACAACTCATCTTCTTCTTTTTTTTTTGGTCAATTGTGGGGCTTGAACTCTGGGCTTGGACGCTGTCTCTGAGCTCTTCAGCTCAAGGCAAGCACTCTACAGCTTGAGCCACAGCGCCACTTCCATAACTCATCTTCTTATGTATTCATCCAGGAAGATAGTGCCCAATCTCTCAGTTTCTACTGCAGAACAGGCATCTAACTGTGAGAGATACCAATTAACAAACGCTAATGGTCTAATCACCAAAAATAAAAGCTGCAAACTGACAAATAACTAGATGTGTGCTGCACATCTATCGATCAAACTTCCCTCAAAGTCCTTCCCTTTAAAAAGCTTGTTTCCATGGAGTTAATTCCAAACTCCGTTCTCATCTGTCCCTTGTAGAAATAATCTTAAATAAAGTCTTCCTGTCAGTTTAACTTTATCCTGTGCAATTTTTGCTTTGACAATTTCAAATGCTTTGAATAGATCTCCACCATCCACTCTGTGGCCAAGAGTCAAGTCAACCAGAATCTAGAGGATTAGTTTCTAATTCTCTGCCAAATTGAAATAATCAATTAATGCTAATGGGTACACAAAGAGGAGGGCACCTGTCCAAACGATTTCTTCCTCTCACTCAGCCTTAGCAAGGAGATAGTGTGTTTCATGTAATTGACCAGGGCTATTACAGGACATATTTTTTTTTTCTCTTAATTGCAAAGCTTTCAATCCCTTTTTATTGAATATGTTACCTGATATAATACAGACCTTTTAACATCGACAAAATCTTTGTAGAGGAATTCTGCAAAGAACAGATAGCAATGAGATTCCTGCTCTCAAAGTTCTTGTTAAGATATTTCAGGAAGTGGCACTGTGGCTTAAGTGGTAGGCTGCTAGCCTTGAGCTGAAGAGCTGAGGGGCAGTGCCCAGGCTCAGAGTGCTCAAGCCCTATGGCTGACCAACAAAAAAATATACTGAATGTTCATTTTAAAATGAAATCAAAGGAAACATATTTAAGAAAGCCCAAGGCTGAATGGCCTACATAGTCAAGATGTGTGTCAAAATAAATATAGAGTTATATTCTCTTTTGCTCCCTACCTTTATCTACCTGATTAAAAATGGAATATTCAATAATTCTTTCTCAACATAATTGCAGAAAAACAATCAAGCCTGGTGAGACCATACAAGTGTTCAAGGTTAAAATGACTGCCAAGGGTTTTGATCTGGGCCATAACCACCAGATTAATGCCCTATAATCATTTCTTCAATTGAAAAGAAGCAGAAGGCAAAGCTCTCACCCATTACCTTAAAACTGCAAAAGTCTCCCTACTTGTTTTAGAATAATGGGGCTGAATTAATATCTATTGCAGTGAACTACCCACATTACGACACTATTTGAAAATATTTATACCACTGTATGTATCAGATTCTGCCTATTCTAGATGAAATGTACAACCAGTACGTTAGAATGAAGCTATTACATCCCCTCTCCCAAACAGCGCACACATTTATCTCCATGCTCTTCAGAATCATTATTATTCAGAATTATTATTTACTAGCTCCTACAGATGCACCTATAATACAATTTTTTGGGTTAATCTGCACTCGATAATTAGATTCCTTACCCTTACATACAAATTTCCACTCTTATGACAATGCTTAGAAATGAGATATTGGATTACTAGTTGGGAGTAAAAATAAAAGTCCCAGTTAGTTATTTGGTTGATTACCTCTAGAATATGAAACCGCGGGAGGTGCCTCGCAAATCTAGTGCTGTAACTTTCCCCAAGTCAGGACTGCAAAGGAAAACCTTGGAAACTGGTTCTATTTCTTTTCCCTTTGAAATGATTTACAAATGAACGTACAAATAGAAACCAATACAGAACAAAAAGGTAAATTTTAGAAAAAGCATGCAAGTTTTCAGCCCAGATTCCTACAGAAGCATTACTCATTTGCAAAGCT